GGGCTCTCGCTCGATTGTAGAGCGACTTACCAGGTACGCGGGGTGCTTCCTCGGCCCTAAGAGAATTACATGTCGGCTCGCTTGACAGAGAGAGACAGGCCAGGCCAGGCCAGGACTGCTCATCCGCTTCCCCATCCCACATCGGCATCGCGGCCTTATCTCAGCCATTAGGTACGCATTGTCGCCAGACTTTTGTGTAATTTTCATTCGGGAAGCGTGGCCGCATATCCACCATCCACACCAGGTCTCCCGGCCAAGCTCCTTTATTGCCAGCAGGTCAGAGTCCTCGTCATTGGCTCTGGACCAAGTCACGCGTGGATTCGCGCGTCCCAGCGAGAGTGGGGTGGGGTTGTCTTGCCTGCGTCCGTCCCTCTCTGCAGTCAGTCTCGCTGGGTCGTCTGCTCCGAGTTACCACTTGCTTTACACATATACTCACTTACATACATCCATCGTATGCGCAATCACAAGCCAGGGAGGGCCCCAGGTGCTTCGCGCACGCAAGACGAAACGAACGAAACGAAAGACGGCCCTTTGAGGACACCACCATCCTCCTCTGGCCGTCTCCCGTCTGCTACGCTCCCACCCCATTCTGTTTCTTCCCCTCTTGTCTGGTGCCGCTGGTGCTGTGCGGCTCAAAAACAGTCACACTTTACCCCGGCCTTCCTACTCCAGTGTACTAAATAGCCGGAGAGGGTCGGGCCCGTCCCAGTTGGATAACCCCTCAACCCGCGCGACCCATCCACCCGTCTTCTCTCCTCAGCCGCCTGTGGACACTTGCGACCTCCTATGATCGACTCCAGTCTTGCGCAACAAGTCGCACAAGCCCCTAGAGGCAGCAAGATGTCACGATGTACAAAACATCCAAGAAGTCGAAGGATCGCAATGATGATATAGATTGGGACTACGACCATCCCCTCCTAGATCCGGACCGTCAGCAGTGGTATTATGAAGGTGTCAGAAGAAATGGTATGGCTAGCATGGAGCGCCCGTCCGCACACGTAACTAACTCCCCTATTAGGCAAGAAGGTCAAGAAATATGTCAAACCCGAGAATTCGCAGGAGGGCGCTGGATCACAGGACACGACGGTACCGCGCGGCAACCTCGAAGAAATCACACATGGCATGGGATCTTTAGATGTTGATGATGGCTATGGTGGACCTCAAGAGTACAGTTTCGGTGGTGGAGGTGTGCCTCAAGGTGCGCTTTCCTTTACATATACCATTCTTCAAGCCGTTATCAGGAGCTCATAACTTAAAGTAGAAACCCACCGGGACGAGCTGAGTTCGACGTCAACCTTCCCCCAGACCTCGGGGGGATATGTACCAACAACTACACCCGGGACAGATCCTTTCAATCCAAATGTCCAGACACCCGATGCGCCATATCCTGAGCAAGGTGATTATCCTCTTGAAAATCAGCCATACCCACCACAGCATCATCGCCGTACCTCTGAAGCCGATCAATATCCACCTCAGCACTTTGACGACGGCTCTGGAGGTACGAAGCATCACCGATCTGGTAAGAAAGATAAAGGGCAACGGAAAGGGAAGGGTGGTACGAGTGGAGGCGATTTTCCTGAAGACCCGTTCTACGGCACTCCATCCGTAGTTGAAGGTTATGACCAAAATCAGTCATCATCTTGTGTGTAGCCTAATCCTCACTACTGCGATGTTCGCTACTAATGGTTGCCAGATCCACCAGGTCAATCGGAGCCTGGTTATAGTACACCCCAAGGCGGGGTTGATCCCGACTATACATATCAGGAGCCCACCCGAGAATCCCGGCGTGATAAAGGGAAAGGTCGTGCTGCCGAGCACGAAGGTCATAGCAAACATCATCGCCATACTGGTCACGGAGGGACCGGGTCTGTCGACGAGGCATATGGATCAGGATCTGGTATTGACCCTAGTCAGGGGCAGTCTGGGTCTTATGGAGGATTTCCACAAGAGCCGTATGGTACTAGCCCTGGCGGACCGCTTGAGTCCATTCCAGAATTGGGAACAACAGGAGGTGTGTACGTTATATAATCTATCTAGGTGTACTATTAACCACGTACAGGTTCCATAGAAGCCGGTCGTGGCACTGGTGATCAGGCTCCTTGGAACCCAGACGCTCCAGGAGGCGGGGATGATTACGTTGACGACGACGCAGATGACCGCGAGTTCCAAGAGGCTCTTAAGCAAAGTCAAGCCGAGTATTACGGGGGCCTATCAGGGCAGGAAGGAGGCCCTTCACAGGCACGCGCCTATGGTATGTTACCAATTGATTTCAATGTAAACAGTATAGCTCACATTATGCAAAGGCGCACCACCAGAGTCACCATATCCCGGATATGAAGGCACCCAAAACCCCCCGTCCTATTACCCTCAGATGAGTACTTCGACACCAGGTTATGTTTCTGGTACTCCTGGTAACCAGGAGCGATTAGACCCCAGTAAGTGACGCAAATACCATGTATGGAATTGTTTGCTCAACACTTATATCAGGATTCAAGGTCGAGCCTTCCCAGAAGTTCGCTCCTGGAGAGGTTGGTGTTTATCTGGAATTGTTCTTAGAAAAGTCGTTAACTCCTCGCAGGTCTTCAAAGTTCTTTGGTATGAGCCGAAAGGCTCTTTGCCAGCCGGGCCGCCTGGTGGTGGAAGTATGATCTCGGATATAATCAAGCTGAAAGACCATGTTGAGAATTACTTTGTTGGATTTCGGCGATTCATTGTTATTGCCAATGATGAGGGACACTGCACCTGCGTGTAAGTCATCTCATTGTCGTACCGCTAGTGTATAACAAGAAGCTAAATTCCTTGCAGTCCAATCTTGACATATGATAGGCAAGGCTGCAACAAGAAAGGGGCCAAGCCTAAAAAACACGGAATTATTGTCGAAGAAGGGACGAAGCCAAAGCTGCTCAAGAACGAGCCGACACTTGGTTTTGATCCGGTTCGGATAAAAATCACCTCGAGAAATGAGAAGATATCTCGAGAGTCTCGAGTGAACTACTCGAAGCTTGTCACCATCGAGCACAATGTCAAGGTTTTCTTCATCGGTCACATTCTTCCAGATGATTTTGACGTTGTCAGAGACGCAGTTGATACTTGCTGGGATAATAAAGACCGTCGATCCCACAATCGGAGGAGAAATAGGGATTGAGATGAGACCGATGCCTGTCATCGGCACAAAAGCTGCCAGGCCATGTATACACATGGCTGGTGTGCGCACGTTTACACTCCTCGACGTTTTCTCTGCTGCCAAATACTGGCACTAGTCACCAATACGTTTAGGTCGGATACGCCTCCTCTATCACCTCCGTTGGAGAGCGCAAGGGAACCATGGCAGACTGCAGAAACTATTCCCAAACATATGGCACAATTCTCATCTACTCGCAACCTGATTTTTGCTGATTTCTTTTACCCGCTCTTTTCGTTTGGATGGCACCGCATGATTATGGTATGACTGATGGTCGATGGAAAGTGGGCAGACTGGCATATGAGCAACAGCACGGGGTAAATATGGTAACAGACCCGCCCCAGCACAGACGGAATGATGAACATGGTCACGGTCATGGAAACTACGACGTTATGAAGGCATCAGCGATTTCGGATAATCATTGGAGGTTATGGATATCATCAGCGAATTGGATTGCATTTGTCTGGGGACAGGGAAGGTGAGGTTTCGCTTCTCACCACCATGTCAGAACGACATATCATACCGCCTTAGTGAAGTCTTTAGTTATTTCTATTCAAGACGGGATTGCTGTTGAACCGCATTGCAAATTATATCAGCCTCAATTGTCGATTCGTTTTGTTTGCCCATCGTTACTTCCTTCTCCCTCCTAAATACATTGCCTTCAAGGACGAGTGGTATTGTGGTCTCGTGTCTAGCAGAAGCAAGGGGAGATCCGAAACCTCGGGACCGGTGTTCGGCTATCTCTTCCTTCTGCCGGGTGGAGGTGGGGTCAACCGGTTGGGTGTGACGGGTTAGCAAGAGACTGCTTTTGCATTGCTTTTGAAATATTCCAGCATGACTGGCAGGTTCTATTGAACTCGATTCTTCGAAAAAGAAGCTTCATATGAAGTCAATGGTAGAATCAAACGCAGAACAATAGCATCAACAATTCTCTAGTATCAATAGCAGCAGACCTGCTGAAAAAACAGCCTAGAACAGCCCTGCCAAGCTAAAAGTGGTGTCTGCACATGGGCCTAGACCCTGCTCCCTGCGGGTGGCTCTGCCCCGCACAAAGTGGGCGATCCCGGCATCTCCAGGGCTTGCACAGCCAATCGGCGGGGTCCTAAAAGCGTCATTCTAGTCTAGCAGTGACGCTGCGGCTTGTGAAGTTTATTTTCGACGTCTCTCCCCGGGGCGGCGGCAGGTGGAGGCTCTTAGGACATCATCCCATTTTGACCACGTGCCAGTCTTGATCTTCTCGACCTCCGATGCAGTCTCAGTCCTCTCCCGACACTGTGATATTGCTGCCATACATGAAGAAGAAGAAGAAGGTGCTACTGCAATCCTCAATTCGAATCGGCAAGGAGACGGCAACGTGCATCTTCAACGACGTGCGATTGTCGCGGAGGAGGAGTGAGTGCCTTGTCCTTTGAAGCAGGGCAGACTGCGAGACAAACATCCGGTTTTGGCTGTCCTACCCGGAGCATACACACCTCAGCACACCAAACCACAATACAATAGAATACAACACAACACAACACAATACGGTACCATCAAAGACGGTACAATACCAGACAATACGACGCAATTTCTATTCTATTCAACACACTCCATTCCCGCTGGCCATGCGCATATCCTGGAGATATCTCAGCCGTCCCTCCATTCTCCGACCCGTGCACAAATAGGCGGGCTTGATATATTTCACTGCATCTTTTTTCTTTCACCATCGACATCCCAGATACGACTCGTCTGGGTAACTTTCACCAATTGATTCGCCACTCCACTTCTTTCCTACCCATTGCCCATTTTCCACACGCGAGCTTTCCTCTTCTTGCCCACCATGTCCGTCTCACCACCGCCACCGAAGCGCCAGAAGATGGATTCGCCGACCAGCCAGCCGTCCTCTGCTGAGCCATCCGCTCTCCTCGACTCGGCCGACACCCCCGTGGGTGGTTCCCAGGCGATTCAGTCCCATGCGGATAGTGGCGAACTGTCGTCTCGGGTGCCAAACGTCAATGGCCAACCTGCCATCCAGGGTGTCAGATGGCCTTCCAATTGCATTCCTCACGAGATCTACAATCTCATCGCGGACTACCTGTCTCGCTCCGACATCCAGAACTTGCGCTTAGTGAACCGCGAGTTCGACCACAATCTGTCCAGCCGTTACTTTAATAACGTCGTGGTCACTTTCAGACCCGAATTCTCCGCCTTGTATGGCTCGCTCGACTCAGGCCTCGGCGTGATGATCGACTCTCAGCAGGGCGCATTGGCAGGTCAGATTGATCACAATGTGGCAGAGAACTCACCTCGCGCTGGAAGCGATAGCGCGTCCACACTCTCCCGCAATGGCTCACCTTCCAAAACCAACGAGCTCCCCACAACACGAAAATCGGTCATGTCAGACGGATTTCGAGTCTTCCAACAATTCGGTCCAGAGACAATCAAGAAGTTTGCTCTGGCGCTCGAGCTGAATGAACTCGATCTGGCATATCCGCCGGTCAAGCTGAGCCAGGAAATCGTGAAGGCCCCTTGGGGTCTCTACCGCTGGCCCATCAAAGAATATCCCCGATATTCAAAGCTAGAGGGCTTGGAGAAGCTGGCCGACGAGACCCAGTACATGAAGGAGGCATTTCGTTGGCTGACATCAGTCAATGAGATAGGCATTTCGTGTGATGCTGGCCTGGGATATCTCAGGGGCCCAGACAAAAACCACCTCTATCAGCCTCTCTCACTCTCTGTTTTCAAGCCTACCAACTACCATCAGGACGAGAATGATCACCATTGTAGTGCAGAAGAAGCCGACGGCAGATCCATGAGCCTGATCATCTTGAAGCAGATGGCCATGAATGCAGGCTATGATGATAACGAGTGGCACTGGGCAGTTCTTCGGCTGTTGGAGGATGAGGGACGCAATGTTCGTTGGGTTGAGCAGCGCAATGCCAATGGCGATAAGATCGCCACCGCAGTGCCCCGATACCCAGTCGACCAAACTACGACGAAGCAGGAGATACTCAATATCATCGAAAGTCTGATCAATTCTCCAGAGATTAACAACCCTAGAGAGGTCGTTGAGGAGAACATGGATGTGGCAGTCTTTAATGATGACCTTCCAGGCGTGCGAGTGCATGCTAGAACCATTTATCGCCGCCTAAGCCATCCGCCACCTCTTTCCATCCCGGAGCTCCCTGCGACAAAGTCAATTGGTCTTGTACCTTCGAACCTCACCCCTGCTCAAGCTGAGATGCTTCTAGAGCTCGACTGGGCCCACCGTGCACTGATGCAATCATACGTCATTGCCGTCATGGACAACAAGGACGCCTTTTTGAACCTGACCACCCTCACCGTTGCCCGTATTTCGGGCAGTCACATCGAGTTTCTCTGCAAAGATGAGTTCTGGGATGCATTGACTTCGGTGACCAACTTCTCCATCGGTGTCATACCGGAATGGCGTTCAATTAAGAAGTCTGACACTGGAATCGAGCAGAGACATGAGAACCCACTGGACACGTACGCCCATGCTTTCAAGCTACTACACGAATACGTCGGCAAGAGAGAGAATATCAAGTCACTGCACTTTGAGTGGATATGCGGCGGCGAGTTTGCTATGGGCATCAGCCAACGCGATCGATATATACTCCCCGCGCCTGTCGTGCACAGCTCGACCCTTCTGCTCTTTGAAAGATGGTATCAAAGCATGATCTCGCTTCCTCACGTCACGCATCTGTCTCTAAAGAATTGCTGGATTCCACCGCATGTATTCCTTCATACAGTACAGCGACTTTCGGAGCTCTCGTTGACACATCTCGAGCTCGAATCCGTCTCGCTCACGGGTTGCCCATCAAGCAATCACGAGACGAGCATAATTCCTGGAGGCCCTGGAGCTAAGCCAACCCATTGGCCCTGGCCATTATGCTGCGGTGCTGAGCCAGGCCAATTCTTCCTGCTCCAGCGTCCAGCGCAAGCTGGCGCTGCCATGCAGCCTCCTCCAGCACCCCCTGCCTTGCCGCACCACCAGCTAAATATGCTTGGACCTTTCCCACCGGGCTTGATGGCTGGCAATAACGGAGCGTTGCAGTTGCAAAATGCTGTCCAGCAGCTGCAGATGATGGGTCCTGGCCACAACGTAGGCCATCTTCCGATAGCCATGAACACTTCAATCATGCCACCTGTGACCAATCCCGCAGTCGGCAGTATCTGCCGCTGGCGCTCCTTCTCCTGGCCGCATGTGCTGGCCAGCCTGTCGCTCAACCCAGATGCGGTGAAGGATTACTACACGACCTGCACCTCCGACGATCGCGCACACTACCGCGCTATGAAGGAGCTCGAGCAGTTCTTCGTGCCGCAGGTCCCTCACAAGACGAATAGACTTCAGTCTGTGAAGTTCAAGTCGTGCGGCTACGCCATAGTCGACCACCCCGCCGTGAACAACTGGGACATGATCCCCAACGAGTACCTCCTCGTCGCGCACCGTAACGAGCTGCCGCGCGAGCTTAAGGATCTCGACGGCGCCATGCTCACCTCCAACGAGCCGCTGCTCGCCAAGACGCTCAACTACATCTCCGACGAGGAGCAGCACGTCCTGCGCTCGCTCCACGGGCTCAACTTTGGCTGGCAGCACATCTACGACGAGGTGCTGATCGACATCGCCAAGGCGGACGGCAATCCTGATCCCGGCGCTTGTCGCTTCTACGGCGAGATCGTCAGGGACAAGACCGCGCCAGAGGCCGATCTCGTGTCTACTGCTTGATGCAGTTTCGAAGACTCCCTCAGCTACGACTTCTCTTCTTTGTATATCACCACACAGCCACTCTGTAACGGGCTGTCTCTTTCTTCTGCTTCTTTATTCGAAATCCTCAAACGACATTGCATAACCACCTCGCCCGTGATTTCGGCTCAGGCGACGAAGGCATTGGAGCGTCACTCACGGAGGAAACAACACGATGAGCTACGAGATTGACTGAATTGGCATCGGCAGCTGCATAACCGATTTGGTGTTGGAAATAGTGTAATATAGTACGGACGTCACTTAGGCGACAGAGCCGACTCTTTGGACGGCTTCTCTTACGATATAGAGTTGCGATTTCAGGGCGTTGCCAGGCAGAGGGCTTGCTTTCATCGTGGAAGCAGTTGCGAAGATTGTGCCTGCTGGTAGTGCTGGACGACGAGTTCTCACTGGCCTCGGTGGAATTTGGTCTTTGCTAAGAGACATGTTTTGAGCAAGGGGGCTCGGATGTGGCATAGATATTAGACAGAACTTGGCTCTATAACAGTCATAGTGTAGAAAAGGTTCATCAACTTGCAGTTCTCGGCTTCGAATTGGTAGTCGCTCATTTGGTACTTGTGAATATGAGGACTTGTAAACATCATGAGGAGTATCACCAACACAGTTGCAACAAGTCACCATGAACGGCAATGTAAGCCTTGGTTGGGTTTGTAATCTTTCTCGGTGATTTATTGAGAAATCATGAATTTATCCCTTTTGGATTGCATGCCAGGACCATGAATATTGATGCCATGCTCACATACACCTGTCCCTAAAAGCAAAGCCCAACGTACGAAAACCCCGATTCCCTACCGCCGCCTCAGCTTTCCATTTCCCCCCTCAATTGGTGGTGTTTTGGACGCTCTATGCGGCGGTGATGGCCTTGCGCACGCGCGCTCCACGCTGTCTTGAGCTGAGATGCTCCTCACGAGCGACAACCGCATCCGACTTCTGGACGACCTCCTCAGCCTCGGTCAGGATAAGCTCAATGTGGCAGGGGTTGGACATGTAGGGGTTGATCTAGAGCGTGAAATGTTAGTTGGACCAGATCTCGTTTGTTTTCCTCTTCGGGTGGAACTATAAACATACACGACCGTGAGCACGGTATGTCCTTCGTCGCTGCTTGGGGGCCTGGTTGACTTGGATGTGCTTGACAATCAGGTTGCCGGTGTCGAGACCCTTGGCGTCGGCGTTGGACTCAGCGTTCTTCAGGAGACCGAGGAGGAACTCGGCGGACTTGGTGGGCCAGCGGGCCTTGGAGACACCAAACTGCTTGCCTATAGTCAAAACAGGGTCAGCATTTCATTCATACTCGTAACTTTCAATGCCGTCTTCCTGCTGCAAAATCTGCCAGATCCACAGTGCCTCCTCTTGACCATTTCTCCTCACAGCATTCGTATCCAGTCACAATGTCTCGGGGGTCGGAATAAAAATCGTACCTTGAGCAGTTCGGCCAGTGCTGCCGGCGTAGCGGCGCATGGGGACAGCCTCGACCTTCTCCTTGACGTTCTCGAGGAACTTGACGGCGCGCTGCAGCTTCCAGCCGTTGATGGCCTGGGCGGTCTCGCGGGTGTTCTTGAAGGAAACGCGGAGGTAGGCACCGCGGGCGCGGGCCGACTTTGACGGCGCGATCTCAGTTGCTGCGTATCGGACCTGTACAGAGAGAGAAACAAACGGTCAGCCATCATGTGTGCGGTGTTTTGAGGGCATCACTGCCGTCCTGCCAATTGAGCCGTTCCCCCTCCAGACGATGTCCTCCATCACTGCAGCCCGCAAACCGGGGGTTTGGGTCTTGTGTGAAGTGGGAATATCGAAGTGAAGACCTCCCTCCTCTAACTCGGCAGCATCATTGTCGGGTTCGCACTCACCATCTTGACTGTTCGTTGGGCGGATGGACTCGATGGGTTGACGTTGGGAGGGTTCCAATTTGTGAGGGCTTGAACTTTTTGCTTAGCGTTGCCCCGACTCGCTCCTACCGAATTTGGCGGTCGCACTTTCCTAGGGCAAACCCTACCCTCACCCGACCGTACTTTCGGGTACCCCTCTAGACGGTGACCAAGCCTTAAACACACGCTAACAGTATCTAACAAACCATACGCTATTCTCCTCTGTCTGCCGATTATTGACGTTAGATTATGTTTGTGGCCTTTTGAAGCCGCTGTTTATCCCTATAAATTATTTCAAGGCGTCTTCCGGAGTGGAAAAGAGTTTTGGAGTAAATCGTAGTAGGCTATATGTCTCGATAAGTTGTAATTAATACCAATGATACATTCAATCTACGCACAAATAATTGCTGGAAGATGCTCTACGCATCGGCGTTGCTTTATCCGGAGCCGAAAATTCTCCAAGTGGAGCTTCACATGACCAGTTACAGACAAATATGGAGCCTCTCCTTAGGTCGACTCCTCCAAAGCTCTGAAATCTGTTGCCCCGGAAGACGTCCTGCCTTGATGACACATGGTTGACTTCACGACTTGGTGTATGCGGTACATCTGGATACCTGCGACAGCTGTCACCTCCCTCAAATATAGACTGTTAACCAATTACCACAACTGAATCTACAGGATCTTCGAACAAAGTGGTCAAATGACAATGCCATTATCTATCGGCTTCGGTCGTCCTTCTGTTTCCATTTATCTACTTTTGCCAATGCACTGAGCGTATCTGGATGCTCTGGACCGAGGACTCGACGCCGAGCTTGAGCACAATCCTCCATCAATGCCAGGGCGTTCTCATGTCGGCCTTGCTCTTCCCAAAGTCTAGCCAAACTGTCCATACTTGATAGTGTGTAAGGATGCTCCACTCCAAGTGTCCCCTTCATCATCTCCAACGTCTCTACATTGAGAGCTTCGGCCTTATCCCATCGTTGCTGTCCCTTATATACTAACGCTAGATTGGCCATGCTGCTCAGGGTACCTTCATGCTCCAGACCCAATACCCTCTTACTAAGTGTCAGCACTTTTAATTCTAACGCTTCAGCCTCTTCATATCGGCCTTGCCGAGAGATAGTTGTCGCAAGATTCCCCATACTGACCAATGTGTCACAGGGCTCCTCCCCAAATCTCGTCTTCATGGTGTTCATGACCTTTGTCTCTAACACTTCAGCCTCTTTCAATAGTCCTAACTCCTTCCATGCTACTGCTAGGAAGCCCATGCTCCTCAATGTAGCAAAATTTTCCTCACCCAGTAACTCTTTTCTCGACTCCACGACTTGCCGAAGTATTACTTCCGCTTCCCGATACCGTCCGTCATAAAGTAGGCAACACCCATATCTTCTCAATAGCGAACGTCTATATCCTTCAATATTTGCAGCAAGACTTGAATTGAGCACGTAAGACGCGTGCGGCATATACGGCCTCCATACCCCTCGGTTGCCACTATTGATGCCTGTCAATACATCATGCAGTCGTTCCATCACGCTTTCAGTCCAAGTATATAATGTGCTTTTCTTTCGAAGCCAGTGCCGTGTCGCCAAGTGTACGAGTCGATGAATGCTGATAGTCGAGTGTGTAATCTGACTACTAAATGAGTACCGCTGCAGGACTCCCATTGCTTCTGTCTCGCTCTTCCGTGACCGACTCGGCGGAAGGATTGTCCGTGGAATGTCCGTGGCTTCCACACAGGCCATTGTGCTCAAGTAATCCATTGCAAGAGGATTATGTTGGCAGATCTGCTCAAAGGTGATATGCCAAATGGCGGCTACCGGGCTTCTCACATCGTGATACCGGCTATCATAATCGAAGTCATCGCTAAGAAGATCAACCATGTCCTCTTCCAAAAGCGATGCATAGTCTCTCAAACTTATGCCGTTTTGGTTGATATACATCGCAGCTTGAAAAATGGCCAATGGATGGCAAGTGAGTCGATCGAGCAAAGCTTCCACTTGTCCATCTTCTTCGCTAAGATTTCCTTGATCAATTATATAGTTTCGTAGCAGCTGATTGCTATCAGCGAGGCTCATTCCAAATATCTCAAGGCTATCTCGACCGGCAAGCGTCGTAGCAGCCTTCTTATCACGTGTCGTGAAGATGATGGACCCACGATTACTTTTGGGAAGGTAGTCGATCAAGCGATAAGATCCCGAAGTAGGCCTGTCAACCCACATCCTGATATCGTCGGCGTTATCAAAGACAAGGAGCCACTGCCCAGCCTTCTCACTGCTCAAGTAATTCTGTACCATTCTCTTCACGTCAGCACCGTCGTCGTCACACCCAGGTATCCCGAGCTGTCTAGCGGTATCGAGGTATGCCCGTTCAAGGCTCTCATTAGTCGTGGATGGTATCCAGATGACTGAGCATTCCTCGTTACCAGCTATGATACGATATATCAACTCAAGAGCGAGCTGGCTTTTGCCGATTCCTCCTAGACCAGTGACAGCAACCCTCGAAGTCTGGCGTCCCTTGAAAAGGGCCCGGCGAAGGTCTTCCAACTCTGTCTCACGACCAGTGAAGGAAAGATTTCGCTCGAACGGCACCATCCAGGGGCGCGCCCTCGCAACATCGGCGATTTCTTTCCTGAGGCGTCGAAGTGCATGGATCTTCCCCTCGCCGTAAATGGGTGGCATAAAGACACCGAAAATACCCAAGAGACAGTATGCCGAGTCTTCCTCATATGTGGTATGCCGGTTCTCGACCCATTTGAACCGATCCTCGATGTCATACTCGGAGAGTGAGCCTCCCCGAAGAATCGAGACGGGGATCCCTGTAATTTGGTGAACAGTTTGTTCGAGGGACCTCTTATCCCCGAGACGCTGGCCTTCCTTGGTAAAGAATTCGACTGATGCCGGGGCAACTAGCTCCTGGAGTGTCCAGCCTCGACTGAACCACCTACTTCTTTGGAGTGCCGAATTCCTTGCAAACTCAACCGCGTGGCTATCTCCGTATCCGTATCCAATATTTGAGACATCCGACAAGTAGACAAAACACCGTGCCGAGTTCTTGTACCAGTTGAACATGGAGTTGATTGATTTCGAGAGCTCGCTGCTATCCGACTTATTGATACAGCAAGTATCGATCCAGAAGTAACGAAGGCCATCCCGAGCGGCTTGTTCTGCGCAGAACTTAATCTTCTGATAGCCGAGCTTGTCCTCTCCGGTGCCTTCGACCAGATCTTCATAAGTAACTTCGTCGGAATCTCGGCCCCATGTATGTGACAGAATGGCATAAAAAGGGATCTCTTGAGGCGGGAGATCCTTGGTCAGACTAAGTCTGCCATCTACATACTCCAGGAGCCGCATTTCAATTTACCAGTCGTCATCATCCGACGATTTCAAGGGGTAAATCACAAGAGAACTATCTCTAATAGAGTCTCCTCTAAAAGAGAGTCCGGCGTCAAGAGAACAAACAGATGAATGATGCTGCATGGGAAAAGTCATGTTGGTAAAACGGCAAGGCTGCTGAGCACAGCCCCAAGTGGCATGCAGCGGCAGATTGGGCGCGTTGAGGACCTAGAGGCAACCTGTCACATGGCCCTGCAGCCTCCTTGTTTCTCTCACCAATCACCTTTCCAATTAACATCTCAGGACAAATGACTTGAGACTCCGGCAAAGAAGACTCGACATTCAGGTCATTTTAATACAGGTCATCTATTTATAAGACTCTATCATATGAGGAAAAGCATTCAGTTGTTCTCCTCTGCCAGGTAATAAATGTCAATTCTTAAACGACAAAGAAGTTCAATTTTGAGGGTAGGATCACTCATCGAGCTCTTGAATATTCTGTTTATTACTATAAGTCTATCAACTTCTACAAAGGTAGTAATGCCTTGTTGAAGAGGTAGTGATACCCTTGTCGAACTAACATTTCTTACCCTGGCGGAACAGTAGAAGCACTGTGTTGGTATGCCCCTAAGTTCTGGCTGTACCTACCTTGTGATTGACTGAATGGCTCATCGACCTTTGGCGGGAACAGTGGGGGCGGCGCGGCATCGGAAAAATAAGTCACCGCTGTTGGCGGCAGAAAAAAAAGTGGAAGCTAGGAAATTTTTCGAAAGAGAGCTACTCCAAGCTCGCCTTCCTAGCAGTGAAGGATAGCAAATTTTCCCAATTGTCGTCGACACAAGCACAACATCCCGTACCTCCACAAATATCAACACATAAAGACAACATGGGTTTTGCTCCCCGAGGTGGACGAGGCGGCGGTGGCCGTGGAGGTGGAGGTAACTTCCGTGGTGGTGATCGCGGCGGTCGTGGTGGCAGTCGAGGAGGCGCTCGAGGTTAGTTTACAATTGCCTTGTCAACGCAATCTACCTTGCGATCTTTCCGGTGGATATCGCAAAACGATACTTCTACTACCAACGAGAAAGATCTCGGGGTACTCCCCAACAACAGTTCCAGAGCGCTGCGCCATTATCATTTGACATCCTTCTCACATTGAACAGGTGGTGCCCGTGGCGGCTTTGGCGCTCCCAGAGGCAGAGGTGGTCCGCGAGGTGGTGCCAGAGGTGGACGAGGAGGCCGAGGCGGCGGTAGAGGCGGCGCAGCTGGCGCCAAGGGAGGCAAGAAGATGGTCATCGTAAGCTACGGGCGCAATCTACAGAGTCGTCTTGATGCTCACACTATCTCTAGGACCCCCACAGACACAAGGGTGTCTTCATCGCGCGAGGTGGAAAAGAGGATCTTCTGGCGACCCGCAATCTGACCCCCGGCGAGTCTGTCTACGGCGAGAAGCGTGTCGCTATCGAGACACCCGGCAACGACGAGGACGAGAACCCCACCTCCACCAAGGTCGAATATCGTGTGTGGAATCCCTTCCGAAGCAAGTTGGCTGCTGGTATCCTCGGTGGTCTCGAGACGATCTACATGGGCCCAGGAAAGAAGGTTCTGTACCTCGGTGCCGCTTCTGGAACTTCCGTTTCTCACGTTGCCGACATTGTTGGCCCCACTGGTGCAGTCTACGCCGTCGAGTTCTCTCACAGATCCGGCCGTGACCTGATCAACATGGCAACTCGCCGCACCAACGTTGTCCCCATTGTCGAGGACGCCCGTCATCCCTTGAAGTACCGAATGCTCGTCCCAATGGTCGACTGCATCTTCGCCGATGTCGCCCAGCCTGACCAGGCCCGTATCGTCGCTCTGAATGCTAGTCTCTTCCTGAAGCGCGGTGGTGGTATGCTCATCTCCATCAAGGCCAACTGTATTGACAGCACTGCGCCTCCTGAGCAGGTGTTCGCCCATGAGGTTGAGAAGCTGAGATCAGAGAAGTTCTTCCCCAAGGAGCAGCTTACGCTAGGTATGTCTCACAATCACTCCTGATTTCACATTATGCTGACTTTGTATCTCTAGAACCGTATGAGCGTGATCACGCCATGGTCTCCGCTGTCTATCTGCAGAAGGAGTTTGAGGGCTAAGTGACCCGCCACAGAGCGGTGTTGTTTCCTCGGTTCACTCTGTTTATAGTCCGCAGGTGTTTGCTGGATTTGGAAGGCTTCTTTTGCAACCTCACGGAAGGCGAATTTTGGCGTTCACGGAAAGGGTTTTTGTCCTATGCATGTGTCTGGTATAGTACGGTTGAAGAACGGAAAGGGCGATCAAAATGTGATATCCTTCAAGTTGATAAAGCATGCTCCCCATGTTCAAGACTTTGGCAGGCAGCACAACGTTAGAGAATGATTCGACGGCAAACTTAATTTCTGAGTGTCCTATTCCTGATTCGCTCGATGTCTTTGATCACTTAAACCTACATCATGTGCTACATCCGGGTCGGGTTGATCCACGTCTGCTTGACAAGGTTATAGACCTGACGTATATTTATCCCCCTGAGGAATGTGTATGATCATGAAGCCTAGTGGACCGGTGTGCAGTTCCGATCAACCCATTTTAGGAATTCGGCGGATATGATGTCCTGAGCGCCTGAGTTCCAGTGTCTGGGTTAATGCGTTGCTGGTCACGAGCTTCTTCCTCTAAAGACGCTCTACACTCTGGGCGTGCTGTACCACTAGACTTGATACGACACCAGTCAGTCTCAGTCAGATCTAGTTTTCCGTCGTAGCATCAACTCCCAAGTCGACATAAAACCCAAGATGAAATCATTCATTAATTGGTCTGAACTGCCATCGTCCGAACCATTTTATTCAAACCACGTGCATTGGACCCAGAGCCCTGATCAGAACCTGTGATGAAACAACAAGCATGTTACTTAGATGTCAGTTCTTTGATTGCTGGGAAATGAGAGTCACTCATTAGTTTCAACAGTTTCCGGGCTTCTCTTGGGAGGCCAGCCAGACCGTCTCTCGGTCCGCTGATGAAACGCTTAAAAGGATTGTAAACAAGTGACCTTCTCCTTCGCAACGTATGAATTGACAGGCAACGAAGAATTTCGGTTGTGGTCGTAACGTTAATGTCCCCAAAAGCATCATCACCTGAACAAAGGCGCTACTACCTCCGTCGAAATTGATGAAGGTAGAGTAACAACCAGAAACTTTGCAGTCTCGAATATCTTTCCCTGGACGAGCCAGCGTTTACTACCCTCGCAGAGGAGGACAACCATGATTAGGGGTTCGCAGCGATGACATATATAGCAGTCTACGTTATAAAAGTATGCCAAGATATGCCACGCTTGAATCGAATTCACTCCTCTCATTCTGATATGATAGCTTAGCGGTCTTGTAGAAGAGCACACAAGCTGTAAGAGAAAAGCAATGTGTTACATCAAAGAAGTGATTATCGATGCTGGCTACCAGTCTTCTGCGCACTTTAAACAAATGGTGCAAGGTTTGGAGAGCGCAATGCACTGGGTTGCGCCATCTTGGATTCGGAACCTAGCTGTTCGTCGACGAATGTCATGCTCGGCTTCGCAGACCGCTCGAGTGATTGCTTGCGTTTCAGGTATCCGCCTCAGTCGGGATAGTCAGGTAACAGCTAAGGTCGCTTCATGCTTGAATCTCTTTGTATCCAATAATGACAAACTCGGTGCTTGGTTCAGGATAACTAGGGAGTCAATTGCTGGCTTAGGTGTGCTATGCGACCTCGCTATATGATGGCCGCCCTTTACCCTTCACGAGACCAAATTGAACATTCAATTCTCGAATCGCAAGTCGCCTCTTTGCCTTGCATGACATTTGCCCAATTGGCTTATTATCACTTCTTTTCTCCCCTGCGAAGACATTATTTACTACCCGGGCACTACCCACTCCTGCTGAAGAGTGATCCAACAGATTGCTCGACATGATGCTTCGTTTTCGAGATCAAGAAGACGATATTAAGGAGGTTTATATGAGGTTGTCTGATGGAAAAATGAGTTTCTATGCCATGGTAGCTCTTCAATGCAATATCGACCATCTACAAGCTCAACGTAACGTGCTGTGATAAAAAGGCAGTCGATATGTTCATGGTCAAGATATGCACTGATTTCGACATTCACGGGGACCTTTATACAGGCATTTTCTTGGTCAATAAGACACCAAAGGGCGTGGCTTCACCTGAAGCGATGTGGAGTTAAACGGCCGTCGGAGTTTGCAACTGCTTCATGATTGCAGAAAGTAAAGACTTCCAGAGATAGTATGTTGTCAGACCCCAAGGCGGATTCAGTGGCTCAATGAACACTGCAATCTGTGCCAACAACCTCATCACTCGCTATCTGGACCGTGAATAGTCGTATAACACCAGATCAATTGCATTGTCCCAGGGAAGTAGGAGTTAAGACGAATAGCTGCGAGCATGGAAATCCGAACTCTTTGCAACTGGGAACTTCAAAGCATGGCAGCAGTATAGGGGCACCATAGCGCACTTTTAGACGTAGCTTAGACCGTGGACTATTTTCAATTGGACTTATACTAGACTAAGTAGTGGTTTGTTCATGGATCTCGAAACGACATTTGAGAGTTATGGATGTCTTCAGGATCTTTAGGATCATCTAACCTAACTTGCTTTCCAGAGTAGAAGTTTCTGACTACGGTGAGATATCTGCGTATCTTTAAACTACCTAGTCGTTACACTGGTGTAGTTTGATTTGAAGTTTCTACAAAGTTGTCTGACAAGCAGTGAACAACTCAAGCAGGAACGGTTAGACTCGTCTAACATACACTATCAATGGTCACCTTCTGTTTCACCGTCAACAGAGTCTAGCAGTAGACTTCAAGACTCTCTGAAGTGAGGCAAGTCATACCTCTCGCGAGAAGAAGGCCTGACGTGGCAAACTGATTCCTCCTTGACGCTACTACTTCTTCAGGAGGTACTGTCCCAAGACTACTTCCTACAATCAGTTTGGATCGCAATGAGGTAAGCGACTTTGTCGAGACACCCGAGTTGACTACTGACAATCATGATAGTCATTCTGCACCATCGAAGCGAGACTTCGCCGCAGGACACCAAGATATCGGGCCCAGGTCCCAAAACATGAAATTGAACCGGCACTAGGAGAGTTGTCACAAAGAACTCCGACAGAGCGGAAACATCACGAACCCCAGACGATCAGACTCGAGGGATTGCAGAGACTAGAGGCTCGGGTACGCATAGTGCTGCGGATCGCAACGACAAAGCGAAGTCCCCAAAGATACCAACAACTGAATACCACCGCCGTGCGCCGAGGTTTTTCTTTTTTTCTCGGGGGCCCGGTGGACAGGGGGGGAAGGGGAGCCGCCAATGCAGGCGTCGCAAGACATGTCAAAGACGGGAAAGGCGCGAGGGCGAAAGCAGACGAGGGTCATGGGCGGCCGAGAGTGGAAATCTCGACTATGCAGAGCCCGGAAGCCCATGCCATGCTGGGTGGTGATCAATCAATCATATCATATCACATCACATACTTATCTGGGAGCCTGGGTAGTCAGTGTTACTCGGGGTTGGGGGGCGGCGGGGGCGGTGGAGGCGGCGGGCTATCAAATCAATACTTTCATGTCTCTTTGCACAACAGAAAGCACCTCCGAGCCGAATGGGTGTAGTGTACGGCATGATAGTGGGAAAGAGACGTGCCTATGAATGGATGGGTGTGCGAGAATGATCAGTGTCGGATAGCGGTGCTGGTCCCTGTCATGCAAGCATGGATAGGGGCCTATTGGGTTAAGGTCTATCCAAATTTCCAGCCGGGGGGAAGACGAAACTCCCCGAACCGTGGGTGAGGATGAGGCTCAAAAGATTTTATGAAAATTGCACAAAATTACACTGGTCTTGACTGGCAGACGGGGCACCTGCGCCCACTGGAAACGCTGGCATTCCGCGTCTCTGGGGAGGGGGGGAAGGGGCTTGCATGGGCTTGGGATGGCTTGGGATGGTTCGCAGTATGGATTTCCGCTTTTGGCGCTGGAGGAGGGGAGCGCCAGGCTCATGGTGGTATCGGTATGCATGGCTGGGCTTGCTTGCTTGCCTCTCGGGATGCGCTGCAAATCCACAACTTTAAACAGACTATGCCATACTAGCAAGGGAGTATGGTGGGTGATGGGTGGTGATGGTTGGCTCCCAATCGTTTGACGAGATGCATTGCTTGCTTGCCTGAGCTCCAGGCTCTAGGCTCTAGGTTCTAGGCTGGGTTGTTGTTTGCTGATTGACTTCCATCGTCGGGATGCTTCCCCGTCCAAGAATGAAGACGGGCATTGAATGCGAAGGCAGGTAGGCAGCATTGACTTCACGATGCTTGACCTCCTCGATGTGACTTAGATCCACCCAGTCCACCTCTCGTCAATGGCTCCTTTACGCGACGGGCATCCCCATCTCCTCCTCTGTGCAGTACGGCCGTTAACTAAAGATCCCCTGACCCCAGCAAATAGAGAGACTATCATCGCATGGATGGGCAATACAAGCTCATGGGCTTCCAATCTGAGCAGCCGGCAGAGGTCATCTGGCCAGCATGAGATGGTAGCTCTCAAAGCGATGCACACCAGGATGAGGAAGATCCATATTGTGACGAGCAAAGGGGGGCGTGCCCGTGTGCCCTGGACATCAGCAGCCATGCATGCCTCGCGATTGGAGATGCATGCGTTTGGACCGCCACCGAAGACGCCCACTTGTGGAGTTTGATAGGAGTCAAAACATGTATTGTACGTGCGGCCATGTGGACTTTCGGTGTCATAACCGTCACGAATCAACCTCATCATACGGAGAAATCGGTGAGAATCCTCTACGATCACAGTGTAGTTCTAGGTATGATCGCACCTGGACCTGGGCAGAGTCATCGTATTGCAAATCTTCCTGCTGTGACTTCCCCGGGCGACTCTGGTGACGGTACTCGTCTAGCAGTCCCATGTTGGTGTTCGTAGCGTCTCTGAGTGTAAGTGGCCCCTGCTGGCTGCTAGGCCGAGACTTGTGGTCGGCGACCTTCATCAATCGAGCAGTGAGGTGCAGCACTAATCTCGGATGAAGACGCTGCCGGGCCGGACCCCAGTATCCTCTGGCAACACGAAATCGTCTGCTCTAGATC